ATGCCGCTGAGCTAAATCCCCAGCCCCAAGTGCCTTCAAAGTGAAGGGGAATGGAGCTGGGGCATGCGGGGTTCAGCTGGGCCCAGACCAGGAAGACAGGGGAGCAGTGTGCACAAATCTGAGAGCACGTGGATGTCCTAATGACAGTGATGCTGCTAGAAAGCTAAATATTTGATGAAAGAGAAAGCTGGAGATGTTAGAAAGTAATATAAGAAGGTGAGCATGAATGTGTGGATTACTAAATCTCCTATGTACCACCTGTGCCATCAGCTGTTCTGGGGAACAGGCACTGAACAGTAGGGGTGCAGAGGTTTATTGGGCAGCAGCACCTGCCAGGGCTAGGAAGAAAGCTGGATCCTGGGTCAGTCAGCCAGCTGGACCCTGGGAGTGGCCAATCCTGCATCTCTGCTGTGCTCGGGCTTTGGCTGGGGCTCCCCAGAGAGGAGTAAGGCCTTGCCTGAGAGCCAGCCCAGACCCTGGGCATGCACACACCCACATTACCTCATGGCACTCTTCCCTCCAAGAGTCTATGCAGTGTCCACAGCAGCCACTCATCCACACAGAGTCAGGATTCTATCCACAGAATGACAGAGAGCTATCAGCATGAGTGGGAGCAGTTGTTTTTAAAGTAGAAGTAACATGACTCAGACTTGTGGGCTGTTGCAATTATGCAGTGTGCTTAGAACTCTGCCAAAAACTGTAAGGAGATTGATACATATCGAGGAAAGAAAGGCATTGTCCATAGGAATTTATTATCCAGATACCCACAAAGAAAACTAACATATGTGGAACAATGGTGAGTGATAAAAGACTACAGAGAAGCGTACAGTGCCCAGGAGGGTCAGGAGAATGTGGCTTCTTGTCAGGTCCAGTTCAATAGGAATCTGAGATTAAAAGGCATTTAGCAGACACTGATTAAACGCTCCCCATGCCAGGGTCCCGGTGGAGGAGGTGATAGTGTAACAGGGCCGTTGTAACAGCTGAGTACAGCAGAGACTTTGCAGGGCTAGGGTAGACAGCCATCTTGAATGACTGCACAGATGGTAATGAAGACATCAGGGAGGGTAAAGGAGGGAGAGGATGGCCCAAGAGGAAAAGTGCCAGAAGAAAAGCTGGCGGAGGCTCAGGTACTGGGGATCAGGTTATTAAAGAACTTGTTATGCAGCAGCAGCACTGGAGATGCCAGCGATGGCCAGCAAGTTGAAGTCAAGGAAAATGAATCCTGGCAAGAAACTGGAAGCTGCAGGGCTGCCCTAATGTCTAGGAGAAGATGGAAATAAGTCCTCTGGGTGACAGCCTACAGGGGTACTGGGTGCCCTTGTAGTGGAGGTGTCGCTGCCTAGTTGCTGTGTCTGCATTTGGCATACAACCCATTTTATTTTAGTCTCCAAGTTGCACATACGGTTAGCTTTCGTGACTCAGAGCAGAGAGGCAGGATACAGAAGTCACCCTTCCACAGCACAGCTGGGACTAAAATTTGGCTTTTCTCATCTTGCAATTCAATGATCTGTTCCCAAACCATGGCTTCTCACACTTTCACATACAGATTCATCCTTGATTAACATGGATTTAAACTTTTAAAATGCCACCTTGATTGCTGATGAAATTCTCTGGGGAACAGAGAAGCTTTTGGAGTGAAATACGGTCTTAAATGTGACACTCCAAATGCCTAGATCCTTCTGGGTCCTGCAACAGCACTTAATAATCCAGGCAGCCTCCAGGGCTTCTGTGTGTAATATTCTTCCAGGTCAGATCCTGTAGATAGAAAAACCAAAACAATGTCTGAAAAGACTTAATTCAGATTGACAGGAGGAGCAAGGGAGGGGAACTCATTTCCACCTTCATCATCCCAAGAAGGACCTGGCTGTGAACAGACAGAACCCATGCAAATGGAGCCCTCATTAAAGGTAGATCCTTCTCTGGAGGCTTTGATGAATGGTGTAACCTGGTGTTTTATTTGAGTGTTTCTTCTCATGTGTGCTTGCTGCTCAAAGGAGGTTGAGTTTGTTCCCATTTTAAACTTCTTGTTGGAAGAGCTGTGTGCACACTGTGGGTGCTCACCCTGTCATGTGTTTCTGGTATTTTCTTGTCTGGTGGGTGGCTGTTCTGGTCCTGCTGGCTTTGTGCCCAGAACTCTTTGTAGACTGAAAAGGCCGACATCTAGCTGGGAAAGGTTTGCTTTGGTGCTAAGTAGACAAATGAGTAGGTAGTGCAGAATTTGGCCATGCCCAAAGAAAAAAATCTGGCCTTTGACCCCAGCTTCTACAAGACCACATATGTCAGATCAGAGAGGCGTATCTTTGTGGAGGCCAGGGCCAGCCATACCCAGCATCCTGGGTAGACTGTCTACAGCAGGAAGACCAACCTGTGGCCTAAATTTTGAGTCCTATTGCAGTCAACTGGTGGCTGAAATCAGCCCATCAGTCAGCCATACCTATGCAGGGGAGCTGGGCCTTGCTGGTTGGCAGTATTGCCGCTGTGCAGTGTGCTTAGCGCCCTGCCAAAAACTGTGAGGAGACTGATACACATTGAGGAAAGGAAGGCATTGTCCGTAGGAATTTATTTCTGTTATATCCATCCTGGGAGGGTAGCATGCCCAGGCTCTAGCGAGAAGACACTCAAAGTCCCCACTTGAAGCTTCCCGATCTGTGTCTGTGGTCTGACCACTGACCTGTGTTTCTCTGCAGTGGATGGGAACTAAGAGCATAATAAGCATGTTCAGGGCATCCTAGTGAAGTACTGGAACTAAGGGGCTGGGCACCCTTCACTTGTGGATGGCATCAGTAGCTGGAGCTGTCTGGAAGAACTTCAAAAAGAGAGACCTGCTGGAGGAACTAGCAGGAGAGAGAACCCAGACAAGTGTTTGGGACAAGCAACTGTTATCCTTACTCCCTGCACACTGTGGCACTTGTGTGTTTGTTAATACTAGGCACAAGGGATCAAACTGGTGACCAGGTACTCTTTAGCCAGGCCCTGGATCTAGGCACAGAGGGAAAGTGCGGTATATATGGTGGAGCCATGGGGGGGGGGGGGGAGATAATGGAGAATTGTAGGTGGTAGTTTAGAACACTCTACAACTGGGGCCACACAGCTAAACTCAGGGTCCACTCTGCCCACCCTGCAGACGTAGAGTCATCTTTTCCCAGCTAGGTTTAACCCCTCCATCCAGGTTACTTGAAGAAACTCCATATCTATGTGTGAATGTGGAAGGGGAGAAAGGGGAAGTTGAAGGCTGAGCTCCTAAGGAATGGCCCGTATTAGTCACAGTCTTGTTAGCTCTTTAATAGAAAGGATTTTCAGCGAGTATATTTCTCATCTGGAGACTCAAGACAAGAGTGAATGTCTCAGAGCTCCATCTTCACCCTGGGATAACCGTAACACCCCTGTCTCTCCCTTTCCCAGGGCCATGTGCCTTCCAGGTAGCTGACCCTGTATACCCTGGTACTTGAGAGCCACCTGTAGATGTCTGGTAAAGTGACTTCCTGGGCTTTGTCTTGAAGTCCTATGGAAACATCTCCCTGGGAGATGTTTCTGCGCTCACTTAGCCTGTGGACAAAGCCCTGTTGTTTGCTGGAGCAGGCAGTCTTGTGACCTGGCCCTGTACTCACTGAAGTGAGAGTTCACCTAACAGTCGTAGTCTTTCCTTCATAGTGGGTCCTGATGATGTCCCACTGCTGGACAGAGTTGCTTTGCAGCCTTGCAACCAGACCTGGGGCTATGTGTGCAAACCTCTTTGTTCAGATCTAGTGACTCCTTGTGAAGTAGACATTCTTTCTTGAATTTAGAAAGCTTTTCTTTTAGATTTATAATATCACTACTTCAGAGAATTACCCTGATTTCTTGATCTTATGTTTCTTGTCCCATCACTACAGGAAGTATTTTTCCTCCTACATAAAAAGGCAGGAAGAGAGCACAGGTGGGGCAGAACTATGTGAGACTCAGTCTGGCCCTGTGCCCCATCCTGAGGTGCAGCTTCTGAATGTTGCTGAGACAGTGGAATTATTAGAGCCACAGACAGTGCCTCAAACGGTTGACTGCAGTGGGAATTATTATCTGTTCAATCTTAATAAATAGTAGGGATCACACTCTAGACTCTAAACCAAATTGCTATGAACATTTTCCTTCTGGGAGAAAAAGTCTCTCAGTCAGATGTAATTAAGCTTGCTACCTGGTGGATAAATTAAGCTTGCTGTGGAGCAGGAAGAAACATGCCCATACCTCAGGGTTTGTGCATGCGGTTGCAACTGCACATACACCCTTCCTGCTCTAGCACCATGACCACTCACTCCTGACCTGTGTCCCATACAGCCATCCTTCACTACCCTTTCTAAACTGGCAGCACCTTGGCCACCTCTTCTCTCACCCTCTACATGCCCTGCCTGCTGCATTTGTCCTCCCCACATACACGTTTATTGCCCACTCAACCATAAGCTGCACAGTTGTGACCTTGGTGAGTCATCTCCATGAACAGCCTTTGCTAGTACTCTGATTTATCTGTTGAATGTATGGAAGATAACCAGACTTCATAGGGAGCCCTTGCTCGGCTTGCTGGGGTTGAGAGCACATATCTCCAGTGTGGGAGCCTCAGGGAGGGGTCATAATGGAGAGTGGTGGAGCATGGTGTGGACTGCTCTACAGCCAGAGCCAGGCAGCTATCCCCAGGGTCCAGACTGGCCCATGCTGCAGACGCGGAGCTCTGTTCCTAGCTGGGTTTGATCCTCCACCTCGGGTACTTCAGCTGTCTATGAGTGAACTTGGAGCGGGAGAAAGAGGAAGAAGGAAGCTGAGCTTCTAAGGAGTGGCCTGTGGAGATGAGAAGGAACTGTGTAGAAACGGTGAAAATCATAGGGGAGACCGGAGGGTCTCCCTGGCTCAACGCTCTGCTTACCCGCCCGCCGGTCTGAGGCTTCATCTCCCTGCCCGCCTTTGTCTCCTGCCTGCCTCCACTAGCTGCTGTAATAGCCAGATGGCACTAACAGAATACACATGATGTTTTGTAGGATTCCTGGCCGGCTGAATGACCGGAGGACTCCTCTGGGTGAGCTGAATTGGATCTTCACAGCAATCACAGACACCATCGCGTGGAATGTGCTCCCCCGGGGTGAGGCTACAGGCTGGCTGCCTGCCTGGGGGGACTGCCCATCCTTGGTAGGGAAGTAGTTGAAGGGGATCAGTGCATTCTCCAGTGAGGGAAATTGATGGGAGCAGGAGGAGGGCGTGGAAAGGACAGAGCCAGGTCCTAAGAAGATTTCTGGGAGGAGGAAGGGGTGCCCACGTGCTATACACAGGGAACAGTAATGCACAGTGAGCTCAGCTTTAGCCCTGTGCTAGCGCTAGACTGTCCTTCCCTGGCTGGGCTCAGGGTTTGGCTTTCTTCATTGGTTTTCTTGCTGGCCTTATTCTCTGAAACCAGAATTTCTATTCTAAGACTTACTTGTATTTTTCTGTTTCTTTGTTGCTCCTTTGTATATAAGCTTTCATGTGGATGTGTGTATGCCCCTGTATGCTTAAGTGCATTTATGTGTTGTGTGTGTTTATGTTTATAGCGGAAATGTATATTAATTCCACTGTGTTAATAGTAATTGTGAGTGAATATAAATTTGTATATTTGCCTTTAAGTGCTGGGTACCAGTCTATTAAGACTTTTTTTACCTTTTACCTATCCTCAGATCTTTTCCAAAAGCTCTTCAGACAAGACCTGCTGGTGGCAAGTCTATTTCGAAATTTTTTACTAGCAGAAAGGATCATGAGATCATACAACTGCACCCCTGTCAGCAGCCCCCGACTCCCACCAACTTACATGCACGCGATGTGGTAAGTGTACTGGCAGATGGCACTGCCAGTAATAGGTTTGATGGTGTGCATGCTCTCTTAATTACTTCCTTCTCGTTGCTGAGTCAAAATGCCTGATGCCCAAAGTTAAAGGGGAAAAGTTTTATTTAGCTCACAGTTTGTAGAAGTTTCTGTCCCTAATCTGCTGGCTCCAAGGCAGGGTGAGTTGGTAGACAAGCATTGCAGAGGAGAAACAGCTCATAGCAGCAGAAGGGAGCAAAGCAACAAGGGACAAGACAAGCCTCTTTCTGTCCCTGTATTGTATCCAAGGTACTGGGATTAGGGCAGTGCCAAACTGATCAGTGGATTGCTTTAGTAATCACCACCCTTATTCCTAGCATTGCACCATGAATCAGTCACACACTCTAGATTCGGTTTCCACTGAAAAAGTCCCACCTGTGGCCACATGAGGCTTTGAGGGGACATCTAGACATAAGCCATACACACACCTTACTGTGGCTCTGTGCCCACAGTATGGAGGTTGTTCCCAGACTGAGACAGAGGTGAATACAATGGGAGGATCTCCAGAAGTAAGGGGCCACCAAGAAAGAGCAATTCTATATCATTGGTTCAGTGACGTCAGATACCACAGTTTAGAGTGCAGCAGTAGGCATAGAACTGCTAGCCATGTACAGACATGGATTAAGGAAAACAAATTGCTGCTGGGTCTGTGAGGTACATCCAGGCTTGCTCTGAGTTAAAACGACCAGGCTCATGAGCAATTAATTCATGTGCTTATGTGTAGCACACATTTTACCCTTTTATGGCTGTTGATCGTAATTTTCTCCCACTGCTGGATGCCTACTATGTCTCTATACTAGTAATAATCATAACAATAATTATATAATTTTGTTTTAACCTATACATCGCTGAAGTAATGGTTTCTTCCTTTTTATTATTCTCTGTGTCAGCTTTGTGTTACTGTACAGAATACCTGAGGTAATCAACTTATAAGGAGGAAAGCTTTACTTTGACTCATGGTTTCAGAGGTTTCAGTTCATGGATTTTGGGCCCTTGCCTTTGAGGTTGTGGTGAGGCCATGTGCCGTGGTCGGTTGCATGGTGGAGAAACTGCTTACTTCGTGGCAGCTAGAAAGCAAAGAAAGGAAAAGATACACAGTCTCAGTGTCCTCTTGAGGGACACACGTCCAGTTACCTAACTTCGTCCTATCCATCCTCACTTCCCAAAAGCTTCACACGTTCCATAACGCACAGACTGGAGACCAAGCCTGTAATACATGGGCCTTTGGGAGCACTCCACATCAAAACAGTAGCACTTTCGTAACACAGGTTTAGGCAGACTCAAAAGTGGGATAACAAAGGGAAGTCTTTGGTGCATCTGTAGGACATTATAATACAAAAATTAAAAGAGCAGTTCACCTGCATTTAACCTTAAAATCCCTAAGTGGCAGCTTCCCCCAGCACTGGATACTCAAAGATGTAAGGAATTTGTAAACTCCCTGCCTCCTCATCCACTCAAAGACAATTACAAACTCAGTTATTTATATGACATAAACCAAAACTGCACTGTGCCCAGCACACTTGGAATGTCAACAGCACACGATCTGAATACCTTGTAGGAGAGCTGGGTTAAACAGAGAGCACTGGTGGGCAGCAGCAGGAAGTTGAAGTAGACCACGTAGAAGATGCCTGACAACAGCTCGAGCACCGCGCAGATAGGACGGACGCACAGCATGACAGATTCCGTTCTAAGATACCCTAAGTGACAGCTGACAGAAGACTCACTGTAGTACACTGATCAAATCATTAGGCTTTGTGACGTGCTTAGAGGAAGCATTTTTGTGAGAATATATCATCAAAACAACCTTTCTCACTGGCGTGGTGGCACACACCTGGGATCCCAGTGCTCTGAGAGGCTGAAGCAGGAGACACACAGTTTATTCTTCTTGGGCAATTTAGTGAGATCCTGTCAAGGAAAAAAAAAAGAGGATAGCAGGCAAGCTAGCTTTAGTCCCTTAAGAAAAGTAATGCCTTACATCCTTTTTCTTCTCATGCAGGTTTTTAAAATTTTTATTATAAAAAAGATAAGTAAAAGAAAACAAAAGGGCCGAAGGGTCAGTTGTAGCCTCAGTCACAGATTGACAGCCAGCTCAGTGCTAGGAGCACAGCGCCCTGCCCGCTGGGGTGCCCACCTGGAGAGGGAGAAGCCACCTACTCGTCTTGCCTTGCGTCACCTGACTGCCTTAGCAATAAACCCCTGGAAACGTGCTCCCTTTTAGTATCTTTTTTACGGGTATAAAAATCCCTCCTGTGTGATATATTTGGCTGTACAGAGTTAAAAAAAAAATGGAAGCTGAGCATAGTGTTACCAAAAAAAAAAAGCAGCTGAGCATGGTGTTACATGTATATAATCCCACCTACTTGGGAAGCTGAGACAGGAGGATTGCAAGTTGAGGCCACCCTGGGCAACCTAGTGAGACCTTGTCTCATAATGAAAAGGTCATTTGCTAGAGTTCAGTAATAGAGCTCTTGTTTGGCATGTCCAAAGTCCGGGGCTAAATTACCAGTGCTACCAAAAGGAAAAAAAGAAAAAAATTGCATTGCACTGGAATGGAGACTAAAAGGCCTGAGCAGAAAACAGCAGGAACAATAAAGTCTGATGGGGCCAGGAGGAGGAACACTCAGAAGGGCCAGTGCAGGACAGCTACATCTGACCCCATCATGCCAGAGCTTGGTTTGCTTTTGAGGGCTTTTTGCTGCTATACTTCTAAACTACTTCCAGACTGGAGTTGGTCCATGCACTGTGTCCGTACAAGTCCAGGCTGAGGGAAATGTGATCCTGCCACTAGCAACTCTCAGCTCTGCCCTGGAGCCTGGGGGTAAGGCCCTTTCCCTGTGAGCTTTCTAAAGCTGGTCCCCATTAGTGTTCACTGTGCCAGAAGCATGAGGTGCTGTGTCAGGCCACAGAGGTGCAAAGAGGCCAGGGGTACCTATCCCCCTGGGTCCCCAGGCCTGTGGAAGGAGTGGCTTCTCGTGTCATGTGTGTGCACTCGCCTCTTTCCCTCTTTTAATTCTGACCTCCTGAGCATCACAGGAGTTTTTCAGGGTAACGTGCCTTGAAGACTTGAGGGCCACCTGGTGACTGGGCCTTTGTGGTCTCTCACCCTGCAGGGCACCGCTGTGACCTCATGTCCTCCCTTTCCCTTTTGGGGCTAATTCCGAAACCACTGTCCTGCAGGGTCCCTATCCTGGCACACAGGTCAGTTTCTTATATAAGAAAAAATATAACACCTCCGAAACCCATTTCAGTAGGTCCTTTGGGGATCAGAAGGCAAGCATAGAGTTTCTCTCCTGCACAAGCTCAGTGCTCTGGCTCTCCCCCAACTTGTTCCAAGAAGCACATTTCCTCTTCTCACCCAAAGAGTAACTCATTTCCAAAGAGTTTTACACAGCCTGTCACCAGGCCCTATGTAGGTCCATTGCAGTGACTGTAGGGCTGGATCCAATAAGGCATCCTGCTGAGGAGTCCCCAGTGCTGCCCAGCACCCAGCATGTTCAGTGGGGGAATCCCATTAACTTGTCCTCCTGGGCTTGGGGCAAAGATGCCTTTCCCTGTAGCAGGGTGTCACCAGCAGGAAGGGAAGAGACAGCAAGGTCCCTTCTGCTCCCGCCACCTCGTGCATGTCTGACTATGTCCTGATAATTGGATATGATGGGCAGTTCAGGTGACAGACTGGAAACGACAAATTGAGGACCAGACGTGGTATGTTTGAGCTGTGTTATTCTCTCAGTAGCCAGGGGCTGGGATGCTCCTCTCTGAGTCCATTGGGGACAGGCTTTGGTTTGGGGCTTTTAACCTCATGGGGCCAAAGGTACATCCTGTGCCTTACATTTTTGCTTCTTTTTTCTCATTTATTCCAGGCCTTAACCATTTGTCTTATAAACTATTCTGGCCTCTGACATAGACTTGTAGACACTGCTTAATCAGTTGGCCTCTCCAAAAGGAACAGCTAAATATGGAAAACGTATGGCAACCTAGACTCCCTAAAAGAACAGTGAATTTCAAGGCCCTAGGGAACAAATGTGCTGAAAGAAAACAAGTCTAATTTACAACTTACATACAAACTGTAGATGGACGTGCTGCTCTAGTAATAGGAAATCCCTCCAAGCATCACAACATGGAAAATGGAAATTTTGGAGTCTGAAAAGCACTCAGGCAAGTAATTGTTATCTACTGCTATAAAACAATGCTGCCATAAGCTCAGTGGCTCAGTGCCACATGCTCCCATGTCACAGTTTCCAGTGGGGGGCAGGTCCTCCACACAGGGTCCCACCAGGCTCAAGACTACCATAGGCTTCCACCATAGGCTACCACAGGAATCACCTTAGGCTGCCTCCCTCGCACCACCAGCAAGCGAGGTGAAGGTTCCAGCCTTGTGGAGTCGCAGGCAGCTGGCTGCCTGTACTGCATGCTGCTGTCAGCAGAAGTCATGGGCCTTGGCCACATCAACAGGAGACAGGGTCATCTCTTCACCTAAGGAGCAGCTTGGAAGGGTGGCACGTTTAGGAACTGCTGAAGGCACACATTTGGAGAGGCTGTAGGTGACTGGGCTGTGTGCAGAGGCAAGAAAGAAACAGCAGGGGCTGGGCAGTGACCTGCCATAGCCCTCAGTAGGGCAGGCAAGTCACTGCCTGGGATCCAGTGCTATATGTTCTAGATGCCTACTGTCTGTGAGCGTGTGCTAAACCCCTTTGTGGGTAGAGCTACTCCCCCTGGCAGTGCAGTGATGCAGGCGTTGGGAGGCTGCCTGGTTCATAGTTGAGAATTAATGCTCAGGCTACGTGTTATAGCTGACTCAGTGGTGCATGTGCACACCCATCTTCAGAAGGCGATGCGTGTTTAGACATGTCTTGGATGAGGGCTCACTTGGGCAGGGGCAGCTCTGAGCCAGGGAGCAAGCCAGGTCGGCTGCCAGCCACCTTCTGCTCCAGCGGCTGTCGGGCGGGTAGACCACAGCATTG